AAAGCTGGGCCTGTCAAGGACAGTGGTGCCCAGTACATTTCCCCTGAGGTGCTTGCTCAGTATATCCAGAGGCTTGGGTCTTGCTTAAAGTCAATGCCTTCCCAGATAGCTCTCAAACAAACTTTCTTAAAAGTTAGCAAAGAAAGAGGGTGACTTCCTAGTCAAAGAGAATCATAGATACCTCTTCATTAGCAGAGTTTCACTGCCTGCCTATGGGAAACCAAGTACCACACACACTCAGGGAACTGGCAGGTACAGGCACACACACACCTGAGCATACATTCAGGTTCTCTAACAAGACCATAATTCTCATCTGTCCTGGAACTTGGCTGAGAGGCAGGACAAGGAACAGGAGGCAAATAAAACAAGACCTCTCATTCAAGCACATCATCAGCCAACACAGCCCATGGTGTGGACAATGAGCTGCATTTTTTTGCTCTGCAAAAGAAACAGGTGAACTAATTCTCCACTCAGGGTTTTCATTTCTTGATGTATAAAATAAGGGACTCAAATCCCTTCCAACTAGCAGTAATATTCCTGACTCTCAGACCACTACCAGTTCTCCACACAGACAGGATGCCTTCTAGTGAGAAGCAAGCTCCACAACAAAACCAAAGATTGATTTCCAGGCAAGGACATTTTAATGTGTCCAGGGTTCACATTTTAATGACCCACTTTCCCTTGCAATATTGTCAGATGACCCCTAAGGCAGCAGGAAGCAGATAGAACAAACTCTGCTGGACTATTGGATCAAAGCAGCTCCCAGAGAAGATCAAACTGGTCAATTCTAAAGGAAATAAATCAACCCTGAATACTCATTGGAAGGACTGATGCTGAAGCTGAAGCTCCATGTGAAGAGTTGACTCATTGGAAAAGACCCTGATACTAGGAAAGGCCGAAGGCAAAAGGAGAAGGGGGCAGCAGAGGATAAGGTGATTAGATAGCATCACTGACTCAATGGACATGAACTTGAGCAAACTCTGGGAGACAGTGGAGGACAGAGGAGCCTGGCGGGCTACAGTCTGCGAGATCGCAGAGTTGGACACCACTTAGCGACTGAACAACAACAGCTCCCAGAGGTCTAGGCGTAAAGCTAGGCCACAGAGAACCAGTGGTTCTCCCCACCCTAGCCAGGACCTTCACCTCAGTGAGGTCTCTGAAAACAGTAACTTGGCCAATACCAGGAAACCTGTTGGCTGTCTTCATTAGACCTCAACATACTCATGCATTTCGGTATTAGAGGTAAAACCCTGGCTGGGGCTGTGGTTCATCAAACGCCAACCAGAGGCTCTTCCAGTAAAGCAAAGCAAAAAGTCCTGCTAGCCCTGCATCCCTTTGTCATCACTTGGTCTTGTGGGCAATTTCAAGTGCTCCGAGAAGTCAGAGAGCCTAAAGAACTGATGGATATCCACAGAAAACTCAAGCCATTAGCTTCATTATCCTCATTCCAAACTTTTAGCTGGTGAAGTGGCATTTCAAGTCTTTATACTTCCTTCTCCTCATTTCTGGTGTAGGGACTCAATGAAATGGTCAGAATGCAAGAAGCAAGTAGTTGGAAGAGAAAGACTCCCAAACAAACAGGACACAAAGTCCTCCAGCTCAAACACTGTGCAGGGTTCCAACTTCCTAACAGGAGCTACTGGACAATCCCAAAGCTACCCAAGGATCCAGGGAACCTCTTATCCTAATCATCGTTACATACAATAGAAAGCACAACACCTAGGAAGTCAACATCTTTGACATGAACCCCACAGCATTCAGGTCCTCCACTATGAACGGTCCTCATAAGCAGGCCTCACTCCTCTAGGATGGTTACACTCTCCCTTCCCCCTAACCCAGGAAGACCCCAGTGAAGTGTCCATGGTCCAAGGAAGCCTGTGCTTCTCCAGTGGATACATGTTCTAGAAGAAAAAGAGGAAACCCAGGGAAGATTTCCAGTCGGTGGTAAGGAGGTCTGGAGGATGGGGAAACTCTGAGCAGCCACATCAACCAAACGACCACAAACAGAGGAATACTCAGCAGACTAATGCCACTTGCCTCTCAACTGGACAGCGAGCTAGGCAGCCCATTACAAGGAACAAGGAGGAAAACAAATGCAACTAACGGGATGAGGTGAGAGGAGAGAAAGTGGGGATGAAAGCCCTTTCATCCCACCCAGGCCTTCTCTCTGCGCTCCGGGGGCTGCCCGAAGCCAGATGCATGAAGCTTGAGAGGCTGGAGGGAAGGGGAGGATGCGACGGCACGCCACCGTCGGTGATACCAGGCCTCGCGTGGCGCGTGGGGAGGCACACCCGGCCGGGACGGCGTGCAAGGGTGGGGTGGGCGTGCAACTGGCTTGGCTAGGGGTGGCAGGCGTCACTGGCTGGGCCTGCCGAGCGAGGGCCCTGGGGCTGCGGGGGGCGTGAGCACGCGCGGGGCCGCGCTCGGAGGGGCTGGTTACCGTGTGGTTCACCCCCCACATCAGGACGCTGAGGATCGGCTCGCTGGCCCGGAATAGCTTCACTTTCTGGCACACGAAATGCTTCTTCTTGGTCTTGGTCTTGCTGGCGCTGAGTGGCGCCACCGCCACCGCCGTGGTGCTGGTGCAGTTGGACGACATGCCCGGGGCGGCGGCGGCGGCGGCAGCGAAAGGGGGGGCGGCCGAGACGGCGCACGAGCCAGCGGTCCCAGGCCTCCCCCGGACCGATCCCCACCCCCCGCTCCCTCACCGCGCCATGGTCGCGCCCGTCCCGTTACCTCCCCACCCCGCCCCGGTGGTTCCGTCCGCCCTACGCTCCGCCCTTCCCGCCCCGGCCCGCCCCGCCCCGCCCCAGGGAGCCGGCCGGCCCGCTCTGCACCCCGCCCCGGGCAGTGCCGCAGCCCCGCCGTCACCAGGCCCTTTCCTCCCTGCCTGGATGGTACCGCCCGTCCCGGGGAGGTAGCGGGCCGCCCAGCCTGCTCCTCCTCCCCGGGCCTGACAGGAGCCAAGCCGGCCTCCGCGCGCCTCAGAGCCCCGCGCCCTAGCAGGGAGGGGAGGAGGGCTCGGTAGGTCTCGCAGACTACTGCTGGAGCATCTCCCTGACCGGGCCCCCCAAAGCTAGGGTTTGGGTCTTTCCTCAACCTGACGTGCCAAGATGGCGGCGGCACCACGGGTCCGGAGGGGAGGAGGGGCGGGAATGCGAGGAGGGTGGGACGTACCATCCCCACCCCGGGGGAGAGAGGAGGAACACAGCGAGGGCAAAAGGAAGTCCTGCCGGGAAAAGCAAGAAACGCCCCCTCGCCCCACCCATGCGTGGATCTTTCCCACTCCCCTGGGACCGGGGGCGCGGTCCACCCGCGGGACACGCCCTCTCCCCCCAGGGCCAATGAGAGGAGCCAGCCGGAAGCCTCGGGTTTTATGAATGGGTCCAGCTCTCACCCACCGGCGGCCGGCCTCCCGCCAAAGCGTCCGGTTCAGGGGCAGGCCGGCACCTTAAGACACCTATCACACGGCAGGGAATTATAATCGTCTTACTCTCTGGCTCACTCGGTGAAATCTTTGAGTAAGCTGCCCACGCTTTATTCATAATTCCTCTCGGACTAAGGCTCTCCGTTTTATGTTGGACACAAATCGTGGATCAGCATAGTTCTGTATGGGAATTAGGTACTCAACACAGGTGGCTCTTTACACAGTTACAAAAATAAATGTAGTTTTTATTACCAAGTAATAAAAGACATAATTAACCCTAGTATAGGGAAGCAGGATAAGGTGTTAAATTGAATAACAAGTGTATGTTACTTTCTCTCTGGGGAAAGACTGGGTTTTAAGCATAACAGTGTCTGGCAGCATAAGTGCTCAAAAAATATAAATCCAAATTCGTTTAAGAATTAGGAATTAGCAGAACAAGGAACTAGCCCAACTAATGTGTGGATCAAGAGTACCTAGGACTCCTGAGTCAAATGAGGGCTTCTGGTAGGAGACAGGAAAGGGGTGAAGACAGGAGATTGAGCCTGTGAGTTTGGATTTTTTTGTTTTTTTTAAATACCTGACTAAAAAATAATACCAAACAACTCCTGAAAACCTAGACTTGTAATAAGATTACTACATGATAAAAGGGAAGGCATGAAATAAACAGCTTCCACTATACTTTCTTTTAAGAGCCAGGGTGCACACTGAGTTTGATCCTGACTCTAAAATGATTTGACTTCATTTCTGCACTGCCCACATCAGAGACTATAAGCAGTGTAAAAAGGACAAATAACCTAGATCCTATCAGTAAATCCTAGGCCCTTCCAAAATTTGCCAGATTTGCAGAGGAAAGAAAAGCTGACCTGCCTTACTGTGTTACTGGATAACAAGATACAATGAGGTTCTATTACATAGTAAAGTCACTTACCAAACAAGATAGTCTCACAAAGCTAACTTCTTTTTTTCCAAAAGCATGTAAAAATTATAATTTATACATATACATACACTATATTTTACAGTTTGATAGTCCAAATAGTTTAACAGTTCATTTAGAGGGTTTTTTTTTGCAGTTTTTTTCTTCCAGATTCTTTGTCTCCGCCTTGGCTCTGCCCTAATCTAACATCATTCTGTCACATCATCTACTAAATCAAGTTAAGTATTCATTTACCTTGGTAAGAACAATCTTTCTGGGTGATTCAGAGGAGAGAGGTTTCTGAAAGGTCCAGTCTATTCTGAGGTGGTAGGGTTAAGTCTGTTTACACAGGTGGAGGGAAGAGGCATAGGGAGGCTCCCTCCAGAGCAAGATGAGTGCTCACACCTAAATGTCCCAGTGCCTACCCATTGAAAAACCTACTCTGCACCCAGCAAAAGTTACCAAGGATCCCACAGAGCAAGTCACACTGGTTCTCAAAAGAACTGAGCTGTTTCTGGAATCCGTGGAGGAAAGTCACTTTGAACAGTGGTGGTTTGACATCTGTGAAAGAAGCCATTTGAACTCTTATAAAGAGAATTTTTAAGGGATCAGCAGCCTCCCTGGAAATTTCAGGAAAACCAGCAAGAGAGGGGATGGCTTTCATCTTTTCATAAAATTCTTCTCCAGAGCTACTGAGGTTCTCTGGAGAGAGTAAATATTCCGCTTCACCCGATCTTCCAGAGAGGAGGTAGATGCACTCTCTAGCTTCATGCGGCTGGAAAGAGAAGACAGGGGAAAGTTAAGTAACAAGCATTTGTTAACTGGTCAACTACCTGGCAGAATTAGAAGAAACAGGTTATTAGCCATAAAGCAGCTGTAGAAACACAAGCTCTCTTTAAGTCTACATAGATAACTTTTGAGTAACTCCACCTGGAACTCAATTTTTTTACAAATTTGTAAGGGGAAATTTATCTGTTCTGGAAAATAAGTCCAAGCCTCATTTGAAAAAGGCTTCCTGAGCCATGAATTCTTAGAAGGCCAAGAAGATTCAATAAAATACCAATTCATTTCTCCTCCCCTCAAATCAAAAACATCCCACTGTCTGGCCAGAAGTTGAGAAGAGCAACAAAGGTGTCTGGGGGCTGAGCTCCACACAGACACAGAAACACTGGGAACACAGTGAATGAACCAGTTTTCTGATTGCCTCCTTGGGACCACTGCCATGAAAGCTGTTAGGCAGGGAAAAGATGCACTCACTGGATAAACTTCCCATCCCGGCAGTCTAGCTTCTCCAGCCTCTGCTCCCGCTCGTCATCCTTGGCATGCCTCTTGAGGATGTTCAGCCTCTCTTCCTCCCGCCACTTGGCGTTTTCCATCATCTCTTGCCTTTTTCGCTCCAGCTCCTCTGATGAGAGCTTTCTGTTGAACACAAAAATCACCCTAGGGCCTACTTCTCTCCCAGACAAAAAAATAGAAATACCACAGGAAGAGAAACCAGGTAGGACCCAGGTTCTCCAGCCCATAGCTCCCTTCCCTTGGAAATGCCCAGCCCAGTGCCACACTCAGCAAGTTTCTCTTCCTTCCTAACAACTTCTTCAGGTGGTTTCACTCAAATTGCAACAACTTTTAGTGAAGGAATCCATACTCTCATTCAATAATCTCTAGAGTAATTATTCTGAAACAATAAATACATAATAAGAACTAATCAGGAGCCTCCATCTATGGCAATTATATTCCAATTGTTTGTTTAACAACTTACAGAAGAACAGGGAACCAAGTTTATCCATGTGATGGATGACATCTACCACCTACCCACTGGAGATGCTTAGAAATTCATGGACATAGCTCATGAGTATATCATTCAGGACTAAGCTAGAAGCAAGTTGCCTGAAGAATTTAACTTAGTCTCAGACAATAATAGATAGGTCTTCCTTCCTAGCACTCACTGCAAATGAAGAGCAAGAAGAGGAGGTGATGAACCAGCTCAATCACTGTTTACCAATATAAGACATCCAAATCTATTGTTTCTCAAATTGGTGTGATATACAGATCCCCCTTTAAAAGGAAAAATAATTATCAGAGTCCCATAAGGGAGTGGGAGCCCAATTTTGAGAAATAAACTTAAGATACTAAAAATCTGACATTAAGTTATCCATAGCGAAGTGAAGACTCCCCTTCAAAAACCCCACTAACTACAAAGAAAATGGAAGAGGAAATAACTCTAGATAAGACATATGTGAACAAACTGTCAGAAGATACAAGAGGATGAAGCTAACCACTTTAACAGATTAGAGGAAACTGAATCCTAAGTGCCTGATACTGATCAGAGGCAATTCACACTGTAAAACCCAGGAGAGCTTCAGGTACTGTAGGCTCTAATACTTTGGAGTGTGGTGCACGAGGATGAAAACAAAGGGGCTAATTTAAAGTCTGTATAAGGAACAATTAAGACATCACGGGATCCTCATGCCTGACTCAGGGAAGTCAGTGCCTGCTCTCCCAAACATCTACAGGAGACCCTCTAGAGGGTAGACTCTGGTAGTTTCTAGAGAAACTGAACCACACAGGAGAACCACAGCTACATGTAAAAGAATAAAATCAGAACATTTTATCACACCACATACAAAAATAAACTCAAAATGGATTAAAGACCCAAATATAAAACCAGAAACCATAAAACTCCTAGAAGAAACAGGTAGAACATTCTTTGACATAAGTCATAGCAATTTTTTTTTTAATCTGTCTGCTCAGGCAAAGGAAACAAAAGCAAAAATAAACAAATGGGACCAGATTAAACCTTAAAGCTTTTGAACAGCAAAAGAAACTATCAACAAAACAAAAAAAATTACTGAATGGGAAAAAATATATTTGCAAATAACATGACTGACAAAGAGTTAATATCCAAATTAAATAAATGCTCAAACAACTCAACAGCAGAACACACAACCCAACTAAAAAATGAGTAGAAGACCTGCAGAGACATTTTTCCAAAGAAGATATACAGATGGTTAACATGCACATGAAAAGATGCTCAACACTGCTAAACATCAGAGAAAAACAGATCAAAACCACAACGTGATATCACCTTACACCTGAAGAATGGCTAGCATCAAAAGGACCACAAATAACAAAGGTTGGTGAAGATGTGGAGAAAAGGGAGAAGCTTCATCTTTTCAATTGACAAGAAAGGTGTTTCAGATCACTAATTAAATCAAAATATTCAAAAAAGAACTCAAAAAATTTTAAATTCTTGCAGAACCCTCAGACCCTTGAGGAAATATCCAATGACTCACAATCTGAGAAACAATATAAATAGTGCTAAGAAAGGTTTTACAGCTGTAATCTTTCTTTCATTTTTCAGTACCCAAATCTTGGTTACATCTTTGGTGTTCAACTACCTGGAACACCAAACCAAAACAAAAAGATCCCAAATTCCATCCTTTCAAGTTTCTGTGTTTCCATTCCTGGAAGACTGAGATCTTGAGGGCTCTAACTCACTTTTTAATTTAAATTTTATTGAAATATCAGTCTATTGGTCCTATACAGTAGGAACCTGTTTATTCTAACTCGTTCAAAATCACAAAATTCAACAAAAATTCTAACTGCATTAAGAAAAGGTTGACAAAATGAGACAAATTCAAGTGATGGCAGATGGCAAAAGACAGAGAAAAACAAAGCAGGATCTGAAAAAGCAGACCTGGCACTGACCAAGAATCTTAAAAATATATTAAAAAAAAAAACACACATAGTCATGAGCATCTACCCCTAAGAAAAGCATGGATTAGAGCACAGCTGAAGAACTGACCCAGTGATACCAACAAGAGATTAACATGCAGTATAACCTCCCTCTCTGGAAGGCAGGGAAATATGTAATATTTTGGAAAGTTGCCGGTCAAAATTAAACCTTAAACTTAGGGAATCAGGCAATTAAGAGTTAAAAGGGACCTTAGGGTCTGCATCTCTTCTAATACCATAGTGACTGAAAGAGGTTGTTATGAACTCAGTGATTTTTCAGTGCTGGTTGTGTACTGGAATTACTGAGGTAATTCATGTTCATTGAGTCGCTGATCCTAACTAACCATCTCATCCTCCCAGAAATTATGTCATAGCAGCCACCAGGGAATGGGATTTTGGGTTTTCTTTAAGCTTTTCAGGTGATTCTAATATGCAGCCAACTGGGGAGGCAGTTAAAGGAAGTACACAAAAGTTGCCCAACTCTTTCTTTTTCTTTTTTGCCACATCTTAGTTCCTCCACCAGGAATTAAACCCAAGCCCTCAGCAGTGAAAGTGCAGAGTCCTAACCACTGGACCACTAGGGAATTCCCTCATCTAATAACTTCTAAGAGCAATTGAGACCCTTTGGGACAGCCTCTCAAGGGCACAGCCAACTCCACTCAGGTCCCAAGACTGTACATCCATGGTCTGTCAGACCCAAGCCATACCTAACTCAAACGCAGAGTTGATCTTAGGGCACGTGCCCTCAAGACCACCCTCTTCCCTTTCAGCTGATGCCTCAAGAAAGGAGCACTCTTAAGAAAAGCTTCCTGTGGAAATCTCTGTGAGAATAACTGTGGTTTACAGATGTTGACAGAGAATCACTTAATGAATTGGTCATTAGTTCAATAGTTCAAAACTATTTACTTTGTCCTTTCAACGTGACTCACATGGAGTAACGGGTAGGGGTGAATGGTTAAAAGTTAACAAGTGGAATAAGAAAGGGGTAAACAAAAAAGGTGATACAGATTATCCTCTTGCCCTGGTCTGAGCCACTCCTAGACTCAGGCCTGGGAGTCTGAAGTGAACCTCCTGGGCTCTGGACTCACCTGGTGTACCCAGGAGCATGCCGCCTTTGGTAAACCTCCTTTTTAGGAGATGGGCTCTTACTTCGGCCTCTGTCTTTCCTATTTACCTTAGAGTTGTGCCTGTAACAAGATACAGAGGGCAGAGAGGAGAAAAGCTTTTCCAATATAGGGGCTTCTATCATGTCCTTCAAAAGATGGAAGAAAAGCTAACAGCTTCAGAATCATAACCCAAATTGAAGAAAATAGAGGGAAGAACTGGAAGAAAAACAAAGCCATAAGGATACATTAAGATTTGGTATTACTCTCACTCCAGAGATTCCACACATACAAATAGTATATGTGTATGTATGTAGTTCTAGAAATTTGAGCTTTACATTAAAAAAAAAAAAAAAGGAACAATAATAACAAAGCAAAGACATTTGGAAGAGTTGATGAACAGATATGGCCAAAAGCAAACCCCAGCTGTGACCAGACCCCCCACATTCACAGGTTATTGCCCACTGAATTCCCACACTCACGGTTTGCTTGGCCTTGGGGACCGAGACCTTCTGCCAGGGGATAGGGACCTCCTATCCCGGGACCCTGCTTCCCTGGTGCTCTTCTTGCTGGTATGTCTGGGAGGTGAGGAAGAGGAGCTCCTGGACCTGGAATAATTCTTTAACCCACGTGCTCCCTTTCGTTCAGCCATCAGAGAACCCTGCAGTCCCTGGCTACGGTCGGAGTTCCTGACCTGTATCATCAAGGAAAGGAAGGAAAGCTGTATGTAGGAAGATCCAGCAGCTCAGGAGAAGATGCAGTGAAACAAGAAAATGAATAAACACTGAGGTCCTATAAGGGGCCCACTGGGTACACCAATCCCATCATATGGTTATCACTGAGAGCTACATACACTAAGGAAAGTCATCCTCAAAATGCCCTAAAAGGATGTATCACCCAAGCACTTAAATTGGCCTGGCTCTTCTCTATAGCCTGACGGAGAGTAGGACACAGAACATGGAGGACAGGACCTGAAGGGAAAAAAGGAGTCCAGAGGGATATACATTTATCAAAAAATCATCAACCCATACACTTAAAATGTATGCATTTCATGTAAATTACCTGCAGAGGGAAGGGGGGATGCCTAAATGCCCATTGGTGGTTTAGCCCCTCTACTCAGAGGGACTTCAGCTTAGTGAGAGGCTCAGGAGTAGGGAAGGGGCCTGTTCCCCAGCAATCCCAGTCTCTGCTGCCCAAAGTCCCTTCTTTCTGTGTGTCTGACTGGCTGCTAAAAATGCTCTATGTCCTTGCAGCAACATGAATGGACTTAGAGACTGTCATACTGAGTGAAATAAAAGTCAGTCAAAGGAGAAATATGTATGACATCCCTGATATGCAGAATCTAAAAATGATAGAAATGAAACTGTTTACAAAACAGAAACAGACTCACAGACTTAGAGAACGAACTTATGGTTGACAGGGGGAAAGTTTGGGGGAAGGAATAGTTAGGGAGTTTGGGATGGACAGGTACACACTGCTACATTTAAAATGCATAACCAATAAGGGCCTACTGTATACAGCACTGGGAACTCTGCTCAATGTTATGTGGCAGCTTGGATGGGAGGGGAGTTTGGAGGAGAATGGACACATGTATATATATGGCTGAGTCCCTCTGCTATACACCTGAAACTATCATAACATCAGCTATACTCCAAATGAAATAAAAAGTTAAAAAAAAAATGCTCTATATCCAAAAAAGCTGCCAGGTTGGCACGTCCCATGGTCCCACAGTCACTCCCTTTGAGAAGCCATATCCTTACCTGTAAGCCATATCCAGGGACTTTGGACAAAACAGGGGAAGAATTTGCCATCTTCTTTTGAGATCTAAGAGATTAAACACATGCTCATTGAAAAAGAAGATGCCTAAAGGTCCAGTTTACAGTTCTGTGCTGAAATGTGCTTCCTGTTTCAAATGTGACCTCTCCCACCTCCTGGCTCTCATGTGGGAGTTATGTTTCTCTATCTTTGCTGGAAGATGCATCAGCACAGTCATGTTTTTCCTGTGAAAAACCGTGGGCCTCACTTTTCAGCCCCAGTGCCTGAGCACATTCTCCTCTCACCTCGTGCTGCTATTCTAGGGACTCTGAGTCAGCAGCGACAGCGCTGGCGGCTCCCTCAGAGAAGACACAGAACAGGCCCAGATGGGCCCATTAATGCATTTTAAAAAAAAAGAAAAAGCCTCCACAGAACCCACTTCAGTCTTGGTGGAATCAAGAGCTGAAATGAGGGACTGCCCTGGCAGTTCAGCAGTTAAGATTACGAGCTTCCAAGGCAAGAAGCGCAGGTCCCATCCCTCATCAAGGAACTAAGATCCCACATGCCGTGCGGTGCGGCCAAAAAGTAAATAAATAAATAAAAATAAAAAGAGCTGAAAGTCGCATCCAGGACATCTGATTTAGGACTGACACGGCTGCAGCCAGTCCTGCTGGGGATCTTGCCAGCACCTCTAGGAACTCTAATGCTATCTGGCAACTCCATGGGCAGAGAGCCAGAGTGTGCAAATGCCCTCCACCAAAACCCCAGAACCTAGCGGTTCTCGGCCCAGAGCAGGCGCTCGTCCACTTCTGTGGAAGGAATGAGAGTGAGTGAATCAGTGGTGCAGGAGGCCGCGCAGTGCTCTCACCTCCCCCGGCTGCGCTCATCCTCGCTGCTGCAACGATCACTGCCTGAGCTTCTGTGCTTATGTTTCTTGTGCTTCTTTTTCTTCTCCTTCTTCTTCTTCTTCTCCTTTTTTTCCAAACTCATTTGCAACTAGAAAATACCCAGAACATAACCGCATAAGAATATCCAGACCTGTCAGTCTCTCTGAGGGTCATGCGCAAACTGCCTGACTCCAGGTCTCCGGGTCTACAGGGATTCGGGGACATGATCAATCAGCCGCCCTCTGTTGACAACAGTGGAGGGTCTTGACCCTGGTTGTGCAGAAACACCCACTAGACCACAGAATGGACTTTCTGGTGGGTGGGGCTGGGAATCTGTGTTTTGAAACAGTCCCAACTCCACTAAAAGTAATTAAGGACTGCAAGATCAATTTTTAAACTTTTCTTACCAACTGATCCAAGAAACATGCACATAAAGGGAGTTTAGGGGAGAATGGATATATGTGTATGTAAGTCTGAGTCCTTTGCGGTCAACCTGACACTATCACAACAGTCGGCTAACACTCCAATATAAATAAAAAGTTTAAAAAAAAAAAGAAACAGTCACATAATATGTGGATGATGAATGGGCCCTAATGATGAATGGGATACCATCTGATCTCCTGAATACAGTGTACAATCATGCTTTCCACAGGCATATCCCAAAACCCTTCTTTTTCTGGAAGAATGACATCACATGCTGCATTTCCAACCAAAAGACATAAAAGAGAAAATCAAGCATAACTAAGCTTGATATAAGATTGCATAAAATCACCAGGAGACAGTCTCTAAAAGATAAAGACATTTAAAGCCATTCTGTTTTCCCTCTCATAAGAATAAATGGAGAGAAGAAAAAAAAAGGATAAATGGAGAGGAGTTCTCTTGTTAAGTAGTTCTTAATGCTTACATAATGCACTACTTACCAGTTCTTTGATTTTTTTCATTTTCACAGGATTATTCAATACTTCTCTTTTTTTCTCCTCCTCTTTCTTCCTAAAGAAAGAGAAGTTATAAAAATTATGATTATTTCTTCAGAAAGGGAATTAAGTCATTCATTCTACTCTCCATAACTCTATGCAGCAATTTTTTTCTAAATGCAGGCAGACAAGCCCTATGCTGCAATCTGCATGATGGTGTGAAAGCCAGAAATCTTCCCCAAGTCTGCATGAGGGATTGCATATTGTGGGTAAAGTCCACACTGGCTCCCTGTTGTGCAAGAAAGTGAGTTTGGTCTGTTGCTTGTTAAGCTTCATGCTCAGGGCTTCCCAACTGGCCAAGTAAATGTATGTCATCTTGTGTATCAAACATATGCAGCATTTCAATACTACCTCCACTGTTTAGCATGATAACACATTGAAAAGTAAAGAGAATGGATTCGTCTTTCAAGAAGTCTTATTCTCATATATTCATAGGAGGATAAACAGGTCAATTTTCCTGGAGGACAATTTGGCAACATTTATCACGGCCTGTACCTACTCACAAACTCTTTAATCTTACAAATGCTTCCTCAAGAATTTATTATTGAAGGGGTATAATCAAGGAAGGTCACTAAAAAGTTGTTCATATTAGAACAATGAAAGCCTAGAAACAAGTTAGGGATTCAATAGGAGAATATTAATAAAATAAATTATGGTATATCCATACAATATAGATAATAAAAATGATGTTATAAAAGCGTAGTCAGCAATAAAAAAAGATGCCCCACATATATGATTAGGTGGAAAAAAGGAGTTTATAAAATAATATGCATATTTATACACCAATGTTCATAGCAGTATTATTCATAATAGCTAAAAGGGGGAAATAATCCAAATGGGCATGAGATGAATGGATTAAAAAATGTGGTATAAACATGCAACTATCATTCAGCCTTAGGAAAGAAGGAAATTCTGATACAACCTGGGTGAACCTTGAAGACATTATACAAAGTGAAATAAGCCACTCACAAAAAAGCAAATACTGAACGATTTCACTTCTATGAGGCTTAGAATAGTCCAACAATAGGAATGGAAAGCACAATAGTGGTTCCCAGGGACTGTGGGGGAGAGGAAATGGAGAGTTGTTTAATGGGTATAGATTTTCAGTTTTGTAAGATGAGGATTTTCCTGGTGGCCTAGAGGTTAAGATTCCAGGCTTTCACTTCAGTGGCCTGGGCTCAACCCCTGGTCAGGGAAGATCCAGTAAGCCTCGCCAAAAAACAAAAAACAAAGAGATGAAAAACTTCTGGAGATTGACTGAATAATAATTCAAATGCCCTACTACTGAATTGTATACATAAAATGGTTTAAATGGGAAATTGTACATCATGTGCATTTTACCACAATTTTTAAAACAGAAATTCTGACACATGCTATATAACATGGATAAACCTTGATGACATTATGCTGAGTGAAACAGGCCAGTCAACAAAAAAATAAATACCATATGATTCCACTTATACATGTAATTAGAGTATTCTCATAGAGACAGAAAGTAGAAGTGGTTGCCAGGAGCTAGGAAGAAGAGGGAATGGGGACTTATTGTTTAATGAGTATAAGGTTTCAGCTGCAAAGATGAAAAAGCTCTGGAGAAGGATGAGTGGGGGTGATGGTTGCACAACAATGTGAATGTACCTACTGCCACTGAACTATACACTTTAAAACAGTTAAGATGGTAAATTTTATGTTATGCATATTTTACTACAAAATGGGAGAAAATATGTACATATAAAGATATATAAATAAGAAATAAACATTTTCAATGTTCAATCTCATATCCTTGAAATAAAATTATGCAAATTAAAAAAAAACCACACACACTACATGATTTTATTTAACACCCAAAAGGCAGCTTTACTTTGATCTGTTCTGTATTAAGATTTCAAGTAAGATTATAAAGTTTCTTTTTAAAGGGTTCTGCTATGAAAACAAATAAACAAAGGGAGGGGGAGAGGGGAGGGGAAAAGAACTCTATACATATCCCCAAATTTCTGAGAAGCTGCCAGTCTTTCTAACCTTGCTTCTACCTCTTATTATTTAACGACTAAGGGTAAATGGATAAACCTGGTCTGGTCTGGTACATTTACCAATCTCTTCCCAACCATAAAGCAAGAGGCAAGATAACATCTCGGCTGAGCATCTCTACAAAACCCCCTTCCCAGACCCTCATCAGTACCTGATGATGAAAAGCGGGTCCTCTCGGATTTTGCTGGCCATGTCCAGAAGGGAATTGGCACCTGACGGGGCAAAGATAGAGCCTGGGAGGAGTCCTGTCTCTGAAGAACAGCCTGCCTCCTTCTCCTCCATCTTTTCAAAAACATATTTGTCAATAGGACGCCCCAGCAAGTACTCATCACGGTTCACCATCCCACCAGGACCCTGGTACATCCAGTCCAATTTTTCCTCCTTTTTCCTAGTTCAAGGGAAAAAAAAAAGAAATAGTCAAAGAAAATGTAGACTCCTGCAAACCTGAACACAAGCGATAGATAAGCAGAGCTAGGGGAATTCCCTGGCGGTTCAGTGGTTGGGACTCCATGCTCTTACTGTCTACGTTGTGGGTTTGATCCCTAGTCAGGGAATTAGGGTAACACAGGTTGCAAGGCACGACCAAACGTTAAAGAAAAAAAAAGTGTGGCTGGTCAGAATAGGACTCATTCTACAGGCTCTTCAGCAAAGGCTAAACACCACACTCCATGAGGCACTTGGGAAGAAATGGTACTTGCTGTCATGGAGTTTACATTTTAGCGGAGAGATCATTTCCACACAACTAAAGCAACCTGTGAGGACAGAACGTTCCTCAACCTGGGGCATGGAGCTTTGCTCAGGGCTTCTCAAGTCTCCTTTACGAAGTCTTTGTGTAGTGCCTTCATGTCGAGGATAATCTGAAACAGCTAATGTGCACATTCTGGATCAGCTCATCACCAAGAACAATTCCAGTGACCACATACGCAGTAGTGTTTATCACGTGTTTTGGAACTTACTGGCACATTGGCACCAGTGGTAATACTACATTCAAGAAGATAATGAGAAAAGATCAGCCATAACAAGTTACGTTTTCAAGCCAAAAGAGGGAAGCCAAATTATGTCACAGAATCATGCCAAATATTTCCCTTCGGTTCTAAGAGAAAAAGTGGTGAGAAAATTGGGTCTCCATGCAACAAACAATAAAGGTGTGCTGAACTCATAGAGTATGTATTGGGGCAACCAATATCACATTCACATTGCAAGCAGCAAGGTAGTTTCGTCAAAATAGTACTATCTATAACACTAGGTTCAATGATTTTTGAATATGACATTTTTTGTATATTGATTTTTAAGATTACGTAACAACTATGAGCATAAATAATATCTTTCTAGCTATATCTTTGCACATTTAAAAAAATGTTTCAAATATTTACTTTTTATTTATTTCGCTGCTCTAGGTCTTAGTTGCCACACGTGGGATCTAGTTCCCTGACCAGGGGATGAACCTGGGCCCCCTGCATCGAGAGTTTGGAATCTTAGCCACTGAACCACCAGAGCAGTCCCATGTTTGCACATTTTAATAAAAATAATCTAAACCAATAATAGAGGGTCTAACCCTTTAGATACCTCTTCTCTTATAAAAATTATTGGTTTGATGGACTTCCCTGGTGGTCCAGTGGTTAAGAATCCCCCATGCAATGCAGGGGGAAATGCAGATTTGATCCCTGGGGAACTAAGATCCCATATCCTCAGAGCAACAAAGCCCTTGTGCCACAACTACTGAGCCCGTGAGCTCTGGAGTGCCTGCGTGCCCGCAGCAAAAGATCCCATATGCCACAACCAAGACCTGATGCAACCAAATGAAACAAATAAACATATCTTAAAATAAATAAATAAAATGAAAGGACATGTCAAAGATGACTCAAAGGATCATGCCTATACACGCCTGACACGAACATGGACTGGGAAGCGGGGACTAAAGACTCATTTTTATTCATTTGTAAACAGTGACTCAGCATACTTCCTGTGTACCAGGCAGAGGAGTAACACTAGACAGATGACAAAGATTCAGGCAGCTAGGCTGCTCACAGGGTACCCGATAAGGCACAGAGGTCAACAAATTACCAAACGGTGCTGCTGAGAGCTATTGTGACGAGGTGACTGTGGGGCACGTGAAGCAGAAACACCTGAATATGCAGAGATACACGTGGGAGTCATCAGCATGAAGCTGACACTGGTACCAGAGGAATGAAGGCACTCTTTTTTTAAAAAAACAATTTTATTTTATGTCTTCATTTATTGGCTGTGCTGAGTCTTCATTGTGGCTTGCACTACTTGTGACGCACAGGCTTAGTTGCCCAGTGGCATGTGTGATCTTAGTTCCCTGACCAGGGCTTGAACCCACGTCCCCCACACTGGGAGGCAGGTTCTCCACCACTGGACCACCAGGGAAGTCCCTGAAGGCACCCTTAGAGAATAAAGGGAGAAGAGCAGTGTGCCTTGGGGAGCAGGAGCAGTTATGAGATGAGGGAAAAGAAACTAAGTGAAAGAAAGAGAAGAGATGATATGAAAAGGTAGGAGGGCTGGGAGCCTGAAGGCAAATCAGCAAAACCTGTCCAGAAGAAATAAGGAAAAATGAAGACAGATACTTCTATGAAGTAGTATTTTCAGGGCTCAAGCTTTTAAAAGGACTCAACTAGGGCTTCCCTGGTTGGCTCAGTGGTAAAGAATCCACCTGCCAATGCAGCAGGCATAGGTTCAATCCCTGATCTGGGAAGATTCCACACGCCACGGAGCCACTAAGCCCATGTGCCACAGCTGTTGAACCTGTGCTCTAGGGGCGGTAATCACTGAGCCCTCACGCTGCAACTCCTGGAGCCTGAGCTCTGGAGACCGTGCTCAGCAATGAGAAGCCCATGCAGCACAGCTCGAGAGTAGCCCCCGCTCCCCACAACGAGAGAGGAGTCCATGGAGCAACAATGACCCAGCACAGCCAACAATAAATCAATTAATTAATTAATTTTTTTTTTTTAAAAAAGGACTCAACTAATATGAGTCCTCCTCAGGCCCTCTGGTAAGAAACTATGCTGTAATCACAGAGATCCAGTGCCACTGGACATGGCCCAGTTCCACCACTAACCAGCCCGGTAACCATGCAAGTTATTTCTTCACACTTCCACATCCTCACATCTAAAATGGACCTAGTTTCCCAATACAGGGGACATGAGTTAGATCCCTGGTCCGGGCACTGAGACCCCACACGTCATGGGGCAACTAGCCCATGTACACTACTGCTGAGTCCGCGTGCCTCAGCCTGTGCTCCCCAACAAGAGAAGACACTGCAATGGGAAGCCCACACACAGCAATGACAGAAAGCCCTTGGGCAGCAATGAACACCTAACCAAAAATAAACAGGAAAATAAAATGTTTAAATAAAATGGAGCTAGTAACTGCCAATGCTCATTGTTTTTAAATGAGATCCTCTTTCTGAGTTTTTCAGTAAGAAAAGATACAGGGTAAAAGTCATATAAAAATGAAATAATCTACAGATTTTTGCTGTTACTTTCATTAACGATATAGAACAGGTTTTTGAGGCTGCCCACAAGGCTCACCCAAGGAGATTTTTGTTTTTGCCATGCAAGTGGCTTGTGAGATTTTAGTTCCCTAACCAGAGACCAAACCTGAGCCCTCGGCAGTGAAAGCCAAGACGTGAGAGGTGTCCCAACCACTGGGCAGCCAGGGAGTCCCCAGGGAAGTCTTAAAATCTACAGATGCCCTTGCCCCAGACAACCCCTGCTACTCTTAGGAAGTTGGCCTGAGTAGGAATCACTCCCATCTTCATTTATCTAATCTCCCAAGGACACACCGAAGTGCAAGGGCTGAGAAATGCTGGTGTAGACCATGCATGGAAAACACAGTTTTCTAATAATATCAGAGAATACGAAAGCAACACTCCACTGCAAAGAGGAATCTGGATGAAGGTCAAGGATAATGTAGATATTAAGGTTTTTTTCTTTGTTCTAGGAGAGAAGCATAGTAAACATAGAAAAGATCACCTGAACCACAGAAGTGAGCTGTTAAACAGTAAACGGTTTTCACTGGATACATGAAAGGCATGACACTGCAAAGAACCACACAAGCCAGCCCACTGGACAAGCAGATCGTCTAACTACGTCTGCAAGTAAAAACCGAGAAAATGGACATACATGTTGACCTTTGAGTTTCATGATATTGGAGGATATGGGTGATGGGGGTGGGGCAAAAAATCAAAAGAATATAAAATCACCTTCCTCCCATTCACAGCAGACAAGAGGGCGTGAGGGTCAGCAACATGGTAAACACTGGACTCCCAGCTCTGAAGCTGCTCATCTATACTCTGACCTCATCAGACTCTGCAAAGCCCAAAATTTCTGACATATCAGGTGCATAATCTGTAACATTTGTCTGAATAAAAATTTCAAAATAATTTTTTACCTTTGGTTAGTTGGGAAATAAACTCTTCTGACTAACAGATATTCTGCTAAAGTTGACATTTGTTTTAAAATCAAGGGTTCACAAAATCTAAAAGGTCACATATAAGAATGTCTTATAAGCTGCCCAGGAACTAGTCCAAATGTGCGAAACTGATTTAGTTTAAATTATAAAGGATGTAATTTATAAAAAGTATGAAAGGTAAAATAATTTAATGTGTGCCTATGGTTAAAAAAAAAGTACAGAATTTGATTCTCTTAGCTCATTTTATAAATTAATGCCCTAAATATATTGTGTTGTACTTTAAAAATTCCAAAACTCCTTTTATTTTAAAATATTCCAAATATTTTAAACTCATACTTAAGTCAGAATGGCATTCTCCCAATCCATTTTCCTGAAAGAATGTAATTGTTATCCTGCCTAAATTCCGTAATACCATTTCCATGAACTGAAACTAAGTCTCTCTCTTGGTCTGTGTCTCTTCCCTCTCTCTCTCTCTCTCTCACACACACACACACACACATTCAAATGTCATTAATCCTCCTGTCATGAAATTACTAAGGAAAAGTCTTATATATCCAATATAGTGTAAAGTATGTCACATGTCACCCTGGAGACTTGTCCACAAGGATACGAACAAGGAACAGTACAGACTACTCAATTTTATTCTATAGTTTTTACTCAATTCTGATTTAGGAATGCACTGCATATTTTATGCTTTTTATTTTTCTCAGAACACATTTACTCCTATCGCCTTTTTTGGAGGCTGGTAGGGTACATCATCTGTTACTTCTATCTGATATTATACAAGAGGAAACTGAATGAGACTGTCCACAGTCACAAAGCTTTCACTGACAGACACAACATCTATCTCCTTTCATGGGACCTCACTGCCTCACTAAAATGAGCCTGCAGTACACACATTAACAAAAGCAGGAATGTGGCTTCAACACAGTAAGCAGGGTAGAGGCAGTCATCCTCAGTCACAGTTACTTGTCAATTGTGTACCATGAACTTGGCCTACACTAAGACCTTTACATGTCATCTCATCTGATCCTCTAAAAGCCTTAGGAGTTGGGTACTCTCACCCCCCTGGTTCTACTGAGGTCACTGAGGCTCCCAAACTTGCTCCCAGTTACATAGCTGGGCTAGTCCATACAAAGTCAGCCTTAGAACCCAGTTCAGATTGACTCCAAACTCATTCTCTTATGCAGCTATTATACAACAATTGGACGATGCACCCACAGGCCTGCAATTCCCCACACACCAAGACACCCCCAGCCCAAATGGCCCCAGTGCCTTGCTTACTTGACAGCACCGACATCCTCCGCATAGCGCTGCATCTCCTCCCGGGCCCTCTCCTCCCGCAGCTCACGCTGAAGCTCCTCAATCTTCTTCCGCTCAGCCTCATGCTTCTGCTCAGCCTTCCACACTTTCTCCACATTGCGGAGGGTCTGCGGGTGCCAGCTCTTCTTCAGATTCTGTGGCAAATGAAAGGAGGGAGAAAACAAGACAGGGAGTAGGTGTGTGGTGACTATAACTGGCCTGCCTCACCCCACCCCATTCATGCCAAGGCAGCCATGTAAGGGCAAGATGTCTCTAACAATGGCGAGGTTGGCACCCAACACTCTCTCACATGTGGGGGCGGAGGAGAGGTTGTTCAAGTACATAAAATTTCAGGATAGAACAGGCCCCTCCGAGATTCCCTTCAACTACTTCTATCCTGAAATGTATGAGTCTAACTTCCACAGGCCATGCCTGAAGTGAGGGTTGACGATGACAATACAGGAATGAGGCAGAGAGGTGGGAAGGTATAGACTCTGAAAGGTGAAAGAACTCAAGTGTCTTTGGCATTGGACACATTCTTAAGAATACAACCTTCTTTTCCTTGAGTCCACTGAACTTGCCTTGAACTTGCATGGTTTACAACCACACCTAGTACCTCTTTCAACCTTCCTTCCCAAGAGTCCCCCCCCTGACTCTGATCTTCCCTTTCACCCTCAAGGAGTGCTTCACTTCTGCCTTCCTCCCCATGAGTCACTGCATTGGTTCAGCTTCCCAACCAGGGAAGGTTTTCTGGAGGAAGTGACATCTAAGGACAATTATAAATTATCCCAGTGATGTAGGAAGCAGGGATGAGAGGAGTAGATTTCCAAAGAGAGGTAACAGCACACACAGCTGCAGCCCCAGAGGTGAAAAAGAACAGAATACAAATAATTCAGCATGGCTGGAGATAGGAGAACAACCTGATGGGAAGGGGACTCAAGATGAAGCCAATAAAGAGAGCATTAAGGGCCTTATAAGCCATGTTAAGGGACTGAATTATCCTGTTGGCAGTAGAAAATATTAAAAACATTCATATGCAGCTGAAATGCGTGACCAGCTTAGCACATAAAGAATGAACTGGCGAGGATCAGGACTGGAAAGGCCTGGTGAAATTCCCTCAATCTTGAGGTATCTCTCTTATCTGATTAAAAGCTTTCTAACAGACATAAAACACCTTGTTAAAAACTAGCAAGGGGGCACTCTGTCCCCTTCTGACGTCTATGTCAGAAGCTTTCCCTATCTCTGTTATACTTTAATAAAACTTTGGTACACAAAAAGCTCCAAGTACTCAAGCCTCATCTCTGACCCCAGTTCGAAATTCTCTCCTCCGGAGGTCACGAATTCCGGCGTAACACATGGCTCACAGCAGCCACCTTTCACTTTCCCCTCATCAGGTTATTCAGCCCTTCCTCCCCCACCCTCCACCTTGTCCTAATGGTCCTTTCTTGCTTGCCTTCAGTACAGGTGATTGTGTCTCAGGGAACACTTGGGGATGTCTGTTGACACTTTTGGTTGTCACAACTCGGGGAGAAAGGTGCCACTAGTTAGAGGCCAGGAATGTTGCTAAACATCCTACATGCACAGGACTACACACACAACAATTATCCAGCCCAAAATGTCAATAGTGGTGAGGCTGAGAAACTTTGGATTCGAGCTTTCCTGTCCCTAAGTGCAGCTACTTGAAGACACTAATTCGGACGAACCTTGATGGTACCTTGGAAGTCATTCTAATTGATAACACCTGACAAACTCTAATATAGCTACTAGACAAATGGCTAAATGGATCTATTTGCTGATTCAATAGCTACACTTTCAGGAGGTTAGCATTTTTCTGATATTGCACCACGTTCTTATGGGACATTTCCCATTTGGTGGCTATACAGGTTATGAGAACTAGCCACATAACTTATAATCACTGCGGACAGTGACTGAAGCCATGAAATTAAAAGACACTTGCCCTTTGGAAGAAAAGCCATGACAAACGTAGACACCGTATTAAAAAGCAGAGACATCACTTTGCTGACAAAGGTCCAGATAGTCAAAGCTATGTTTTTCCAGTAGTCATGTATGGATGTGAGAGTTGGACTATAAAGTAGGTTGAATACCAAAGAACTGATGCTTTCGAACTGCGGTGTTGGAGAAGACTCTTGAGAGTCACTTGGACTGCAAAGAGATCAAACCAGTCAATCCTAAAGGAAATCAATCCAGAATATTCATTGGAAGGACTGATGTTGAAGCTGAAGCTCCAATACTTTGGTCACCTGATGCAAAGAGCCGACTCACTGGGAAAGACCCTGATGCTGGGAAAGACTAAAGGCAGGAGAAGAGGATTACAGAGGATGAGATGGTTGGACAGCATCACTGACTCAATGGACATGAGTTTGAGCAAACTCTGTAGACAGCGAAGGACAGCAAGCCTGGCATCCTGCAGTCCGTGGGGTCACAAAGAATTGGACACGACTGAGCGACTGAACTGAACTGAGCGACTGAACAACAATGAATTCAGAAGAAAGCTCTGCCACTACAGATCAGAATGCTGCACCAAAGGAGTGGAAGTCAGAAAGGTGAACATGAGGAAGATCTGCGATCCCAGAACACGGCTCAGGGATGAGGAGAATGGGGCACAAGTCATCACAACTACAGCACAGGACAAGACTGAATTCCTAGTTCAGGAAAGGCGAGGTACCCTAAGACAAAATACACAAAACAAAATCTGTGTGACACGTCCTCCACACCTGCCTCCTTTCCTAGCCACGGTTCCAACCGTCCCAAAGCTCCCCAGAATTTCCAGCCAGAAGGGTTTCCTGCCAACAAACACCACCTGCCATCCTTGGCGACCCACCTCACACACCTTTCCAAGTCTCCGCTCCGTCCCTCCAAGGCCTCAGTGATCCGCCCCCTGTCCAGGGCTACAGCTCCCTCTCCGCGAAAGCACAGCTGCGTAATCAAGAATACTCACTGCCACACCCGTCCCCAGCCCCAGTTGGTCTCGGGCCTCGGTCCTCCCAGAGCCCTGGGCTCCCTCACTTACCAGGTCTCCGCCTCCCATGATGGTGGAGATGTTTCCTCACTCCGCGGATCTAGAAGACGCAGGAAGGATAGGAGAGAAACTTGGAGAAATACTTCAACAACGACCTCCCGAGATCTGGTCCCAGGGGCAACCGGCTACCACTTTCACTGCCCGATCCAGAGCCCACTTCCGGGAGGGCGTCCTATTACAGAGACAGCGTCGCAGGACAGTGACGTTTAATACTAGCTGTAGCAAAAAAAATAAAAAACCAACCTAGCTGTCGCGTTACGTGGCGGTAGCTTCGCGAGCAGCTTCACGGGGTACGGCCCATGATATCGCGGGATTTGTGGTTTACTTTCGGTCACCTCGAGTTGGCTCTTCCCCGTGGCTTTCCAAATGGTGTGTTAATAAGAGGAAGCTCTGTGGGGTTGTGCTTCCAAGGTGGCGCTAGTGGTAAAGAACCCAACTGGCCAGTGAAGGAGACATGGAGAGGCGGATTCCATCTCTGAGCCAGGAAGATTCCCCTGGAAGAGGGCATGGCAACCCACTCCGGTATTCTTTCCTGCAGAATCCCGTAGGCAGAGGAGCCGCGGCTACTGAAGCGACTTCGCACGCACGCGCTGTTTGGGTGTTCTAATTGAGCCTGGGCCTCACCTGGCGGTTCTGTTGCCATGGCAGTGCACTGTGGCATTCTTGGGAGCTCCCTTCCGGATCTCACTCCCGAGCCCCAGCGTGGGCCAGCCTAGGCCACCCAGAGTTTGTAAAACGTCTTTTTAAATCAGCACTCTCCTCAAACCTCGACCCCTTTCCCCAGGCTTATTTTACGGAGTTAAACAGAAACCAGCCAACCGAAATTCCATCAGCTTCCCTGCATCACCCTTTCCTTTCCCTTCGTTTATGGTGGAAGAGGCATCCCTCCTAATCTAAGGCATGGAGGTTCATCTGCTGGGATGCCACCCCTAACATCTGGTATTGATAAAGTACTTGATTAAATAGTTAATGCTAGTAGGGGATTGTAAGTACAAAAACTATGGGAGACCCTTCTAAGTTAATGCTTACTAAAAAAAAGAAAAAAAGAAAGAAAGAAAGAAGCAGGCTTCCCTTGTGGCTCAGCTGGTAAAGAATCCGCCTGCAATGTGGGAGACCTGGGTTCGATCCCTGGATTGGGAAGAATCCCTGGAGATGGGAAAGGCTACCCACTTCAGTATTCTGGCCTGGAGAATTCCACAGAGTGTATAGTCCATGGGGTCGCATAGAGTTGGAGAACAACTGAGCGACTTGAAGAAAGCAGGCTTGCTTAGCAATAAACCATGTAACAGAAACAGGACACATGCCCATAAAACAATGAATAGTGGCATGAGATCCACATCCTGCCCAGTCGCTAGGTCACGACTCTCTGCTCACGTAAAAAACAATAATTTGTGGACCTAGCTTGATCACGTAGGAACAAGAAAACTGTCCTGCCCAACCTGGAGTAGGAACTGATAGTAGAAGCATGATGTCTACTGAAGAAAGACAAAGGTCTTCTCCCCCTCCCCACTTTTCCTTTCCTTATAAAACTGTAGCCTGGACACAGCACCACCTTGCCCTCCTGCTTGTTAAGCCTCACAAGCATCCTATTCTAATAAATCACTTCTTGTGTATCAGTTTGCCTCTGGCTGAATTCTTCCTGTGCTGAGACATAAAGGACTATAGTTACAGCTCTTTGGAGCCCCTGGAAGTGACACCAAACATTTTAAGTATTACTCAATTTCTCACTCTCTCCTCTAACTCCCTAAGTATTGGCTTATTATCATCATTTTAGATATCTTTAGTTGATCCTTTAAAAAGAAAACAGTTCATGTCTTTCCCTCAGCTGCTCCAATCTCCTCTCTGTCTTTAGCAAACTTAAAACAAGTTGCCTCCACTGTGGAGGCAAGATGCTTCCACTTCAACTTTGGCTTAACCTGAACTCTCTACTCAACTATTCTTCCCATGACCTTCAATAATACGCCCCTCCTCGTATTTAAATCAAAAACCACATTTCACCCTCATCTGGACTACCTTTAACCTTTGGTATTTAGGACTACTCTCTCCTTACTGAAATATTTTTTACTTAATTTCTTCCCATTACTGTCCAAATTTTCATTCTCTAGATCCTTCTCAGGGAACATTTTTTTTTCTTCCTCATTCCACCTCTTAAGTTCTGTCTTAGGCCTTTTCACAGTGTTCTCCTTTTGTGACCTCAGCTACTCACAGGGCTTCAGTTACCATCTATTAAAATATACTAATGATCCCAAATTCATTATCTCCAGTCATAGCTCCCTTTCAAGCTCCAGGGTTTTAAGCCTGGCTATTAGGCATTTCCACCCGGACATGTCAAGATTGAGAGATATCTTGGTTTCTATGTGGGTGCAGGCTGTATCTCTCTAAAACATGATTTTATCAACCCACTGCTTTAAAAAGTTTCACAGCTCCCCATTATTCATACTATAAAACCCACATTTTAAAAATGTCAAGTCCTGGGAATTCCCTGGTTGTCTGGTGGTTAGGACTCCACACTTTCACTGCCAAGATACTAGGTTCAGTCCCTGGTTGGGGAACTAAGATCTCACAGGCCACAACGAGCAGTTCTTTCATGACTTGACTCTTCTGACCCCTCCAGCCTCACAAGACTTCCTACCTCTCACTCACTACACTACAGCTAAATTTTTATTTCCCAAGCCAAATACTCTAAACAAAAACATTTTTAAATTGTAAATATGTTTTTTTTTAAGATTTATTTATTTACTTACTTTTGGCTGTGCTGGGTCTTCATTGCTGTGTGGGCTATTCTCTAATTGTGGTGTGCAGACTTTTCATTACAATAGCTTCTCTTGTTGTGGAGCACGGCTCTAAAGTATATGGGCTTCAATAGTTGTGGCACATAAGTTCAGTAGTTACGACTCCAGGCTCTAGAGCAGAGTAGTTGTGGCCCATGGGCTTAGTTGCTCCAAGGCATGTGGGATCTTCTTGGCCCAGGGATCAAACCCATGTCTCCTGCATTGATAGGAAGAGTCTTTACCACTGAGCCACCAAGGAGGCCCTGTAAATATGTTTTAAAAGATAGAAAAGTTAACATGGTACAGACTTCCCTGGTGGCCCAGTGGCTAAGAATCTGTGCTCCCATTCCAGGGGCATGGGTTCTATCCCTTGTGAGGAAACTAAGATACCACATACCATATGGTGCTGTCAAAAAAAAAAAAAATCAATGCAATAAAAGTCTCCCACCATCCTTATATCCTCCTCAATCAGCATTTCATTTATCTCGTTTCCTTTATGTATCATTATAGTTTTACATTAAATAATGTTTTAGTCTTCAACCCATTTGGAATTTTTTAAATTGTCTTTCTGGTTGGCTACACATTCATCTCAACATCTTTAAGAGTAATCTTATATTTTCCCCACTGGTGAGAAATACATGCATATGCACATATACCATATTCCCATTTGTGTCTGAGTCTGTTTCTGAATTCTCCATTCCACTCCATTAATCCATCTATTCATGTGTTCTTATCAAACTGCCGTAATAGCTTTGTTTTAATGATACAGGCCCACTGCACCCTCGCTACTCTTCTTTTCCTAAGTTTCATGGTTCTTCTTACAATTTTAATTTTCTAGTCAACTTGTCCAGTTCCAGAAATGATGTTTTTAATGTTATTATTGAGAAATACATTAAACTTATAGATCACTTACTGTGTATTAAAATTGCCCATATATATGTCTACATCCATGCAAGTTCCATAATGCTAAAGACCTTCACCTTTGTATCCCTTATGCATGACACACTTTCTGGCACATAGTAGTTGCGTGTGTGTGTGTGTGTGTGTGTGTGTGTGTGTGTGTGCCCACTCGTGTCCAACTCTTTGCACGTCCCTGGACTGTAGCCCACCAGGCTCCTCTGTCCATGGAATTTTCCAGGCAAGAATAATGAAGTGGGTTGCCATTTCCTGCTCCAGGGGATCTTCTCAACTCAGGGATTGAACCTAAGTCTCTTGCATCTTATACACTGGCAGGGAGATTCTTTAGACTGCACCACCTGGGAAGTCCTGTTTAATATTGTTAAGTGAATACATGAATGGATGGATGATCCTTAAAGACCCTGTGTTCTGAAATCACCATAGACTAAGGTGTTTTGCATGGGGCATGAATTCATATAAATAATTGTTAATATTAACAATTTCACGTAATAATAAGGGAGTTGTATGCTTTAAAAGTTAAAAAATAACGGGGTTATATGTTTACCTCCCTCCTGAGAAACCTGTGTGCAGGTCAAGAAGCAATAACTAGAACTGGACATGGAACAACGGACTGGTTCCAAATCAGGAAAAGAGTACATCAAGGCTGTATATTGTCACCCTGCTTATTTTACTTATATGCAGAGTACATCATGCGAAATGCTGGGCTGGATGGGTGGGGAGAAAAATCAATGACTTCAGATATGCAGATGACACCACACTAACGGCAGAAAGCAAAGAAAAGCTAAAGAGCCTCTTGATGAAAGTGAAAGAAGAGAGTGAAAAAACGGGCTTAAAACTCAACATTTAAAAAACTAAGATCATGGCATCCAGTCCCATCACTTCATGGCAAATAGATGGGAAAACAATGGAAACAGTGACAGACTTTATTTTCTTGGGCTTCAAAATCACTGTGGACAGTGACTGCAGCCAATTAAAAGACCGCATTTAAGTGACTGCAGCTCCTTGGAAGAAAAGCTGTGATCAACCTAGACAGCATATTAAAAAGCAGAGACATTACTTTGCCAACAAAATTTTGTCTAGTCAAAGCTATGGTTTTTCCATAGTCATGTATGGATTTGAGAGTTGGACCATAAAGAAGGCTGAGTGCTAAGAATTGATGCTTTTCAACTGTGGTGTTGGAGAAGACACTTGAGAGTCCCTTGGACTGCAAGGAGATCAAACCAGTCAATCCTGAATATTCATTGGAGGGGCTGATGCTGAAACTGAAGCTCCAACACTTTGGCCACCTGATGCCAAGAGCCGACTCATTGGAAAAGACCC